GAACCAACTCATCCTCGTGCTTGGATTCTCTTACAGCAGCTTTTACCAACTCATGGTTTAGTCTAAAAATAAGGAAGTCCTTCTTAGGACTAGTCCTTCCTTCCAGGAGTTGGTGACTTCCTTCCCAGAGCTGCCCCACATCAAAGCAGGTTTCGGTTCTGCCCTGCCCATACCTATCTCCTTCCTTCTTCGTGGGTTTTTTTTTTCACTGATTGATCAAAGAATTCCATTTGTCAGATAATTTTATGAGACAGGAAAATGCATCTTCCTGGTGGCAGTTAGGTCACAGCTCTGTGAACTTGCATTTTATCAATTTCAATGTAATTTCGTGCAGAGTAGGAGGAAGAAACAACCTGTGAAGACACGTACACAACCAACTCCTATCCTTCCACCAGAGATCTGGTGGGACTCACTTCCTCAATGGACAGGAGGAATTGTCCTGCACAAAGCACGTCCAGAAAGTTAAAAAATCTTCAGAATCTGTAGCACCACAACAAGGCAACCTCAAAGGATCCACACACAGCTGAGCATAACCCATTCCAGTAATCCCAAAACTCCAGACTGGTTTGGGTTGGGAGGGACCTTAAACCCATCTCATTGGGTTCCCATGGGCAGGGACAGCTCCACTGGGCCAGGCTGCTCAGTTATGAACCCCCCAGAGCTGCTGTTTCATGTCAAGGTTTAGCAATGAAGAGACCTGGACAAGGCTTCCACCTTCCCTTGACATCTCAGGTCTTTGAGTGAGAGCTTGGAAGTGAGCTGGAGAACAGGATCACCATGAAATGTCCGTGGAAAGCCCAGCCCAGCTGTTCCTGTGGCCAAGGAGCCTGTACCTCATGTCCCAGCAGTCATGGAGTCATGGACCCGCTGGGGTTGGTAAGATCATCAGTCCAACTGTCTGGACTTGGTTTCTTTTTTCACTTCCAAAACAGCAGTGAGCTTCCATGTCTGCTCCTTCCTTATCCCTTCCTTATTCCTTGCTTGTTTTGCTATTTCTAATTCCCACAAGAGAATCCTGTGCTTCCAATTAGGACTCAGTTGGTTTTGCAAGGGAAGGAGGGCCTGGAGCAATTGTAGGGTTGGGAATGAGGGGGAGAGGGGTCTGTGGGACCCCTTGGGTCATGTAGGATCTGATAACCCAGTGTGGGACAATAGGGACCTTGGGCAGGCTGCAGGCACAGGATGCCAGAGGTGGTTTGGGGACTTTTGGGAATTTTGAGGAGATAAGGTGGGGGTGGTTGGGGTAGGGTCGGTGCTGCTGATACCCACCCGCCCTCCGGGTTCTAAAGAACTCCTGAGGAAACCAGGGCATGTCCTGGTCCTTTAGGGAGTCTTCACTGAGTGATGCTGGGTCACTGGGTCATGCAGGAACCCACAGCAGTGGGAATGATCACCTGAATCCACATTGATTCAGCAGAAAAGAGAGTGATTGTGTGGTGTAAACCAGCAGAGATACACAGGAGATCAAAGGAGGAAGGCGTTGTAGCACTTCAGGAATTGGTGTCAGGGGAGGAGTTTGGGGCTGGGTATTTACTGAAACTCCTCATGGAACAAAAACACTTCACAAAAGGCCCACGTTACTTCCTGCTGGGTGGATCACATGAAAAATGGGGTGTGAGAACGGAGGTGCTCACATGGGGAATCCGCCTCGATGAGATGATCACCTGAGTGAACAAGGAATGCCAGTTATGTCTCTAAATTTGGGATGGGCCCATGAGAACTGCACAGAGATGGTCAAAGAATCTTCTTCTGCAGCAGGATGTGAGAACATGAGGTTCCTCAGAGGTGCCTTGGAGGGACCTCAGTGACTGTTCCACAGCTGCTGGGACAGCAGAAACTCTCTCAAGTGAGAGAGTCAACTCAACTGTCCCAACCCTGACATCCATCTCGTGGCCAGAGCAGAAGAATTTGCTGAAATTCCTGGGTTTTGCTGTCTAGAACAAGATAATAACATGAGTGAGATCTCTTCATGTTTTGCAGGAAAGAATGAAAAGCTCTCACAAGAACTGGCAGTGTTGACCCTTTAACACGAGATTTTCACTCGAGGTATTTATTGGAGCTGCTGAACTGGATGTTCAGGGCAGACCTCCCCATCCAGCCCACATGACCCCCTGCCCTGACTGCTCTGTTATCCCCTGGGATCCGCTGGCACTGGGTTCATCAGTCCAACTGTCTGGACTTGGATTCTTCTTCACTTCCAAAGCAGCACTGAGCTTTCATGTCTGTTCCTTCCTTATCCCTTCCATATTCCTCACTTCTTTTGCCATTCCTAATTTCCACAACAGAATCCTGTGCTTCCAATTAGGACTCAGTTGGTTTTGCAAGGGAAGGAGGGCCTGGAGTGATTTTAGGGGTGGGAAGGAGGGGGAGAGGGGTAGCACCCATGGGAATGGAGCAGGGGAACCCACTGACCCCATAAACTCACCAGTGTCGGCCCAAGGATGCAGCTCCCACAGAGCCTTTCCTCCCTCAGCCCCAGCTGGCAGTGTCCTGCAGAAAGAGGGGATGGAAATCTTCAAATCAGAGGGGAAGCAAAAAGAAAGAACATGATGGAGTCACAACTGGATTTTATTAATCCCATTAATTGTTGTTAAGTCTGAAAAACTTGGTTTTCAGAAAGCTATTTTTTCCTCCAAGGTTTTGTACATAATCCATCGATTCCCTTGGGAGATAAATTCTCTGCTGCTGTTCCACAGCAGGCAGCTCCAGGAGCATCAGTCACAACATGGGAGATGCACAGCAAAGGACAAAATGTCCAAGGCCAGGTTGGACACTGGGGCTTGGAGCAACCTAGGATAGTGGAATATGTCACTGCCATGGCAGGGGTTGGAATGAGATGGGCTTTGAGGTCCTTTCCAACCCCAGGCAGTCTGGGATTCTGAGATTTAGCAGTTATTCCTTGCTTTGGTTGAGGGCCCAGTTGCTATCACCCAGCCATCTCTAAACCCAGTATTCCCTCTGGCAGGAACGTGGGGACCCCAGGATGGTCCTAGACCAGGTTGCTTAACTGGACACCACAGCTCAGCCCTCTCAGGTGTTAAATCCCAGCTGTTCTGTGGAGCAGCTGAAAACCTGCCCCAGGATTTTGAACAACAGTGTTCCTCCATTGCTGACAGAGCTGATTATCTGGTGCTTTTGCAGGAATAACCCCAGGCTGCTGCTGGGAAACGGAGGAGCGGAGGGAAGAATGCAACGAAGTGAGTGTGACAAGAACCCACCGTGGGCCGTGTTTGCAGAAGCTGTGCCCTCAACCCAGCCAAGACCACTGGGCTTGGCTTTGACTGAAGATGACCCAATCAAGCTTTTCCTTCACCCCATACCCCATCCCAAGCCACAGGCAGACTTTGTCTCTTCAGGAGAAAGAACCTAAGAGAAAAGTCACAAAACCATAGAACCAATAAGGTTGGAAAAGATCTCCAAGAACATCAGTTCTGATGCTCCCATCCCCACCAAGCTCCCAGTTTGTGTAGGTTAGAAGTGGCCAATGAACATTCCTGCCCATGTCCCAAGGCTTCTGCCAGGCTGGTGTGGCCCCAGCCGTGGTTGGGAAGCCGCCCTTGGGGAAGGAAGCGCTCTGCCCACCCCACCAACACATCCTGGGCGATGGCACTGACTCAGTTCCTGTCCCCATGGCACTGCTCTATTCTCGAAGGGTGAGCTGGCTTTTTCCTGCCACTGGAAAATACACTTCTTTTACATCCTTATTTATTCTTTTTTCCATTGACACGGATGTCTAGACTCCACAAAGGGCAGAAGGAAGGTGGGACAGCCCTTCTTCCCGGGTTGTTTCCAACCCCAGTGGGATTGCAGAGTTGGCTGGTTCACAAAGAACCCCATTCATGAGGTTGTTTTGTCTCCCAGGGTGACCTTACAGGCCTAAAGATCTCCGAGACATTGACAATGCAACCAAAATTGGTTTCAGAGGAGCCTCTTCTGGTTTTCCTCCTCCTGTGGTGGAGGTCTGTGGACCTCACACTCCCTTCTGTCCCTCTTATCCAGAACACAGGAGTGGTTCCTTTCCCTGGAGCAGGACAGAAGGGCTCAGTGAGGCTTTCCCTTGAGGAGGCCTGGACAACCTTTTTTCACCATAACCTGCAGTCTTAGTGATGAAAATATTCTTGTTGATAGCCCAAAATAGATTAGATCTGTGATTTTTCAGCACATGTAGCCAAATATTCAAATGTTTATCTCAGCTCTTTCTGGCTGGATTTGCCACATAAAACAGCAACATTTTTCCTCTCTCCACTTCTCTTCAAAAATGTTTTGCTTCCCCTTAAATGCTGGGAAACTGTGGAAATAGTAGAAGTATTTTTTTTTTTTTCCTTGATTTAAGTGAAAGATCCCATTTAAATCCCCTTTTTCCTAAACAGTTCCTTTCTGATTTGCTGGTACAGGGGAGAGCTGTGGGTGGGGCAAAATCACGCCTGAAATGAAACCTCTCCTTGTCTCACTTCAGCAAAGTGAGAAATGCTTCCCCCAGCGTCCCAAGACTGAAACCAACTTTTCTGAGAATAAAAACAAAAAAATATGGAGACAAAGAAGAAAAATGGATCCAGACAAAGCGTCAAGAGAAGAACACAGTTTTTTGAGCCACTTTTAACTTGTGCCACACTAAAAAATCATTATTTGCAGCACAGGGCAGCAGCATATGGTATATTCAAGCCAGGGCAGTTTTTCCTCACCAAAAGGCTTTGTGAAGTCTCAGCACCTCTCCAAACTCCCACTTCTTACCTCAGATTCCCTCACATTCCCTCTGATTTTGGTGCTGATGGGGTTTTTCTAGTGATTAAGGGGTGAAATTCAGCCTTGGCATTTTTGAGCTGGTACCAGGAGTTGCTGTGAAGAGTTATCTTCTCCCCCCCTCCTCCTCCCCACCCTGGAAGTGTCACAATTTGATTTTCTCCTGATATCCTGCTTGGATCCTGCATGTCCAGGAACACCAACATCCGGAACCCGTTGCCCCACAAGGTTTTGTCACAATTGCACATCCCTGCATGGTATCTGTTTATTGAAAATATTTTATTGCTTTCTAAAAACCAGTTTTGATAAACTCCAAGGAGATACATGAAGTAGACCAGCAAAATAATTGAACACATTAATTCTCTGGAATTTTCTCTGCAGGAAGAGAGCCAGCTCTGTGAGGACAAGTTGAGGAGAGCCCATTTTGGCAGAGTTTTGGAGGCTGAGCTCCTCTGACTGCACCACTTTTATCCTTAAATTCCAGCACAGCTTCAGGTGAAATAAATGATCAATGGATTGGTTTCAGCTGCAGTTTGATCAGCACCTTGCACCTGAGTCAGGTAAGAATAAGATCAGCAGTTTTTGGAGATGGAACAAGCCATAACTGCAGTGTTTGCCAAGGAAAACTCCTCACGAAGGTTTGAGACTCCTTCCCAACTCTTCCTGCTCAGCAGCCACCACTCCACACTGCCTGTCCTTCCTAAAAAGTCGACATCCTCCTATTGCTGCACTCCAGGAGCCATCCCACCACATCCCAGTGATGCCAGTAAGGTCATGGGTGAGCTCCAACTCCTTCCCTGTATTTCAGCAGCTTGCAGAGAAGCTGGAGAAGACAAATGACTGCCTGGAGTGGCTGGAATTCCTTCCTCTGATCCTATGGAATTTGCACTCTGGAGGAAACGTGCCATGAGATGGGAAGAGTTGGGCTGTAAGGCAAGAGACCAGCTCCTGGCTTTCTCAAACACTTGGAGATTGCCCTCCTGAAATTCCTAACATGGGAAGGGAGGGTCTTCCCTAAAGCTCCAGCACCTTTAAGGATATAACATTGGAGTCATCAGATGGGAATTCCATCCTGACACTGAGTGTGAAATACAGAAATGGCACCTCAGATCATGGCATTTCTTTGGAGTGTTGGGCTCTCCCAACAGAGGAAAGACTTCCCAAGTGGGGTCAAACATGGGTGACCTCTCTCTGGAAAAAGCACAGCAGGAGACACCCCCAGCTCCCAGCCCAGACTTTGCCAAGTCCATTGGGCCCACCAGCAAAGCACCTGGACACACCTCCCCTCCTCCTTCCCCACGTGGTGTGGCACTTGGGGACACGGGTCAGTGGTGGCACTGGCAGTGCTGGGGGGACAGCTGGACTCAAGGATTGGAGAGGTCTTTTCCCACCGAAAAGATTCTGTGTGATTCAAGTTTCATGCAGTGTTTTTCCCCCACCAGGTAATTCTGCACCGCTTCGCCTCACTCCATGCCCCAAATCCAAGGAATTCCCTCCCAGTGTCAGGGATAAAGCTCTGTAACTTTGGGACCAGCTTATCACCAAAGGAAAGCCTGCTTTGGCTGTGACTGATCTCCAGGGAAAGCTGGCAGTGTCCCTAAGAGAAGATGTTCCTTCTGGGTGCCTGTGGTTTGCGAGGCAGCACCGCACTGGGATAATTGAGCAGTGTCCACAGAAAGACAAGTGAGTCACCCCTGCAGCTGGGAAGCCTCTCCCATTCCCCAGTTTGCCCAAATGGCATTTTCCAGCAGCCGACGTCGCGGTGAGCACGGAGCTGTGGGAGTCAGAAGCGGGTGTGATGCTCGGGATCGGGATCCAGCCCTGGCTCCACCAAGGCAGCTCTGCCCACCCCATTGGGCACAGCGTGGCCACGATTCTGGAGCTCTTCCCAGCCTTTTGTGGGGCAAGGGCCAATGCTAGGGACCACCAGGTGTTTCTTCTGCACCTGCTCCAGGATCTGCAGCACCTGGAATGAGGAGACACAGCTGGGAGTAGGTTAGGAATTAAGGGAGAGCACTGATTTCTTCTCCAGCTGTTGAAATAATCGAATAATCATATAACAATGGGTTGGAAGTGATCTTTAAATGTCTCCCATAGGCAGGGACACCTTCCACAAGATCTCTTTCAAGTGTCTGGCTCGGTTTTGGGATGACACAAATAATTTCTTTGCTCAGAGGTGTCTGGGATGGCTGAACATGGAAAGCCTGCCCCATAAAGGTCTGTGACCTTGGATCTCAGAGCCCTTTCCATGGATGAATCAGCCCCACATTTCCCATTCCCCAGTTCCACAGAGGTGCTCTGGAGCAGGGTTAGGACCGAAGCACATAGCTCTGCTCTTGTCCCTCACACCAGCCTGGGATAGCTCCTCATGCTACCACAGACTTCTTTGTCTCCTTACTGAATTAGGAAGCCCCAGGTTGAAACTCATTCAATGGAGAAAGGGAATGGAAATTAAATGCAACTGAACTTCACCTGAGACTTGGGGATGATGCCGACTCGGAAGAATCCAATGTTCCCACTGTCGATCTTGGTGCAGTCCACCACGGTGGAGGCAATGTTCTCTGGAGAAGGCCCACCACAAAGAACTGCATCCACCTAAAACCAGCAAATTTCCACATCAAATTCCTCTTGGAAAGGGAGAGTTTCCCCTCTCAACAGCAAGTAGTTCTCATCAAAGGCAATGCTGCTCCTTCCTGCCCCGCTGCAGTGACACCAGGGCTAGATTTGGAGTGAATGAACCTCAAAGCAAGGACAGCGAGAGCTCTGCAGGGTGCAGGTCAGCAGCACAGCACAGCACAGGCAGGTTTACAGCAGCTGAGGAGCTCTGGAGAAGTCCCATCCACAAAGAAAATGTGTATGAAGTTTTGATTTTTGAGGAGCTAGAGGTGGAAGATTTGCACCACCTCTTGTTTAAAGCTGCTGCGATGACACAAAATGTAAAACCCTCAGAATTCAGCAGTGAAATCTTAGAATCATGGAATCATCTGGAACTGGAAGGATCCACAGGCATCATCAATCCAACCCCTGGTCCTGCACAGGACACCCCAACAATTCCACCCTTCCAGAGGCTCCTGGCACTTTGGCAGCCTCGGGGCCGTGCTCATTCCCTGGGGAGCTTGGGCAGTGCCAGCACCCTCTGGAGGAAGAACCTTTCCTGATCTCCCACCTAAACCAATGAAAGGCCATGACCATGGCACTTCCATGGAAGCTCTAACAGCCAGGAGTATTTTGGAGCTTGGTACCAGTTTTGGACCAGCTCCAGCCTTAGGGGGGAATCCCTGAGTTCTCACAGCCCAATGCCAGCTGGAGCCCTGGCACATCCAGGCACCAGATTTGCTTGCTTGTAAGCAAGAATTAATTTTTTATTGCTCCCATCATCCCATGTTGGAATATGAACCCACTCATGTTGCCAAGCCATAACTACACTGTGTAAAACAGAGAGTTTTAGTTTCACACCAAGACCTGTGCTTTAAAATCTTCTTTCTCTTTGACACCAGCATAAGGAGCATCCACGAGATTTTTTGAATTAGAGGCTTCCCCAGATTCCTGATACCATCTATTAATTTGCCTTCTGGAAACAAAGTGGTTGCACTTTCCCATCCCCACATCTCTTGGTTACCTTATCTCCCAGCTTGGCATACACTTGGTTGTGGTGGGTCGTGTCAGCCTCTCCTGTTGGGTTGGCTGATGTGACCACAATGGGGCCAACCTGGTGACAGAAAAATGGCAGTCAAAGCTCTGAGCAGGACTTTTGGGACAGAACAGGTGATTCGAGCTCTGAACTTCATCTAGGACTCTGAAGAGAGCTCAGTGTGGCTCACCCAGGTTGAGGCACTTTTTTTGCCGTCAACCACAGCCCCACCAAACTGTGTGTGAGTGATCAGCACTGACAAATTTGGGTTTAGTGATGATGGCCATGAAATGACATCTTGTTTTCCAGCAAGAGCACTTGCCTAGACCTAGCAAACTCAGGGTATCACAGCTCCTGTGGCCACTTTCTGCACCTTCTGAAGTTATTCTGGCCTCAGAGAAGTCCCTGCTTCCAACAGTGTTCTACGTTGGAAATGAAACTGTGTCTGTTAAGGGCACTCTGATTTCCTGACCTGGTGGTTGCTCTTTTCCCCCTCTTTGCTGCCATAAAATCCCTCCCAGCTGCCTGCAGGCCCCAGCCCTTCTCAAAGAAGGGGTCAGGGCTGAGGTGCTCTGACTCACCAGGTCGATGAGGTGTGTGGTGACAGAGCAGTCGGGAATGCGGATGGCCACACTCTGGGGGGTCCCAACGTACTTAGCAGAGTCCTTCATTCCCAGGAAATCCACCCATTCACCTGCACCAAGCAGAGCCACCCAGCACTTAAGAGAATTACATCAGCCCAAACACAACAATTGTAACAGAAATATCCCTATGGAATATGTGGTGTTGCAGGGGTTCACAGTTTTAGGAATTTCAAACCCAAAGCTCTCCAGAGAACTTGGCATTAACAGCATTTCCTCACCTCTGGGAATGACCAAGCTAATGGGAGATGGCCAGGCAGCCTCCATGAAGTCCCACAGGAGGGGAGTGAACAAATGCTTGGCAGGTTCCAGTTGCTTTAGGCTGGAAATCCAGAGGGACATGGGGCGATCCTGAGCCTGGCGCTTGGACCTGGAATGAGGAAAGAAAAAGTGAGGCTGAAAGTAAGATGAGGATTTAAATTCAAGGAAAGGAAACTATTGGAGACATCCAGAGCTAAGAGAAGGTGTGTAGGCTCTGCCTCAGGTCACCAGTCTGGAGAAGAAGTAGGACTGTTCAACCACTGACTGGATGGGAAGGAACTTTACTGGCTACTGCTAATCAGGAATATCTGTTTCCAAATCAAGGCTTTAACTTCCTGTGTAGTGATGGGTAAAGCTCCCAACAGCCCAAGTCCTGAAGAAAACCCCACCAATTTGAGGGGCTCCAGCTCACACCAGAGGGGTTTTGTTGTGACAACACATACCTCCAAGTAAGAACAATAAACCCCCTGCCCCATTTGCCACTGGTTTGGGCTTCTTGTGGTGCCCAAGTTACCTGGCTCCATCAGCCTTCAGTGTCCCAGAACAGAACTGCAGCTCAGTTCCCTCCTTGCCTCACCTGGATCTTCTCCCCACCTTGCTGTTCCCACCGAGGCTGAGCTGCCTTGCTCTCAGTGGGTGCTGCAGCCAGCACTCAGCAGCAGCTCTGAGTTCTGGAAGGTTCCTGAGCCCAGCCCGGGTGCCAGGACTCACCGGTGAGCTTTCTCCACGGCGTCAGGCCGGCTGCAGGCGGCCACCAGCACGTACACGGTGTCCGTGGGGATGCCACAGGTGCCGCCGTTCCTCAGGATATCTGTTGGCATGGGAGCAGGGCAGGAGCCCTTGAGTGACAGGGGAGGGGTGTGATTCCCGTGGCAAGTTGTCACACAATGTGGTGCTCTCCTCTCCTTGTCCCTGCTCTGGCAGTGCATTTTCCCACATTCCTCCAAGGGGATATCTGGCATTTAGGGGGGTTCTGGGACAGAGTGGAGAGAGCAAGGACCAAGCATTGGCTCTGCTCTCTCTGTGCAAAGCTTTGGGTGTTAGCCACAGCCTGGAGGATTCCTGGAGGGTCTCAGAGCAGATGAGGACACAGGGAAATGATGGAGGAGACACAGCAAGGAATTTGCTGCTCTACTCAGCTCATGACTCCTGTAACTTGGCCTACTTTACCAAAACATCACCACATCATCCAGCTTTCCAGGCTGGATGGGGCTTGGAGTAACCTGGTCCAGTGGCAGGTGTCCCTGCCCATGGAACAAGATGGGCTTTAAGGTCCTTTCCCTTAAAACCATTTCCCTCAACCATTCCCTCAAAACCATTCTGTGGTTCCTTTCCCTTAAACCATTCTGTGATTCTCTGACTGTGACAATGTCCTTTTAAGAGTGTTCTGCTACAAAACCTCACAGAATATCCTGTCCATCCCCACATTGTGCCCTCTGTTTTTCCCTTACCTGCAATTCTCTTGACTGAGGAAGCTTTCCTGGCAGGCAGGTGAAGGCACTTGGTCGTTCCTGCCCCAACACCACTGAGCTGTACCATGGGCCTCCCCATGGGCAAGCAGCAACCCTCAAAGGTGCTGCTGGCCAGGGCAGCCAGGAAGCAGTAAAAGCTGACCAGCCCAAAGATGAGGGTGGCAGCGATGTCGTATCCAGTGGGAAGAGCATGGATGGCATCCAGGAGGAAGCTGACAGCGATGAGCGTGAAGGTGAGGGAGTAGAAGAACCAGGCCATGTTTAAGAAGAGCGAGCAGAAGACAATGAAGCTGTTGAAGAGCATGAAGGAAATGATGCCTACAGCTGCATGAAAGCTTCTGGCAGTGCCATAGAGGCCACCATACCTTGTCAGGCCCCAGATGATCCACATGACAGAGTAGAGGATAAAGGCACTGCTCTCCAGGGTTTTACCCCGGGCAAAAGCCACTGAGCCACCAAGGAGCTTCAGGATCCCACCAGCTACCACCACCCATGGAATGACAACAGTGGCAAGAGGAGCCTGGGGGTCTCCTGTGGCTGTTAGAGCAAAAGAAGCCAGGACACTGCAGGCATAGGTAAGGGCTTCTGCATCGGCATACTTGGAATAGCCCAGGTAGGGAGCGTGGAGGTCTGGCCCCTCCCGGAGCTTCAGGAGGCTGCTGCGAGCAAGGAGGGCCTTCACAACACCCTTCCCTGTTGGGATCTTGGCCCTGGCCCTCACATTGTACAGGTGAATCAGAGCCACCAAGGCTGAGGCCACAAAAATGGCCACGGCCACGCCTTGGGGGCCACCTGCAAAAAAACCCCTGGGACTGCAAGCCAAGGCAATGCAGTAGGTGACAAAAACCAGCAAGTACAGGCCATCCACAGGGCTCTGAAGGGACAGAAAAAGAGCCAAGACAGCAAAAAGAATGGAGAACACCACCAGGAATGGGGTCGGGAGAGACGGCTCCTCTGGCTGCCAGGCGGGGTACAGGAGGCAGTAACCTCCAGCAAATTTGAGGATGGAAGTGAAGCCAAAGGCTGTGGCCATGAGAACGTCCATTGCACGGTAGGACAACACACAGATGCCAATCTGGTAGGTGCCAGCTGCCCACAGCCAGGGCACGTGGCCCAGGAAGAGCCTGTGGGTGACTCCCAGGAGCCTGCAGCAGAAGACACTGGCTGACAGCATGTTCAGGAGCAGCCCGGGGGCTGCAAAGGGGTTGGTGCTGCCAGCGCTGCCCCGGCCCTGCTCCTGGGCCTTTTTCTCTGCAAGATCCGTGCCAGGGAGGGCAACTTTCCCTTTGGTCAGGAGGTAGAGGATCCTCCCCAGAGCAAAGTAGCCCCCGACCAAGCAGACACTGAGGTGACTGCACGCCACGGCCGAGGGGCCGAGCGAGGAGCTGAAGTGCAGGGCCACCTCATGGGCACCGGCCAGGGACATGGCAGCAGCCACCAGGGCCAGGAGGGGCTCTCTGCAGAGGAAGCCCACCACGGCCAGCAGGAGCAGGGCCAGGGTGAAGGTGGCCAGGCCTGGCAGCAGGGCATCGCGGGCATCCCCCGGGCCGGGCAGCACTCCCTGCCCTGCCAGGATGAGGATCACTCCGTAGCCACTCCAGAGGGCTGATATGGTCAGGCACAGGGACACCAGCAGGGAGGCGTTCCTGAGGCTTCTCCGGATCCCTGCGGAACAAACAGAGACAGGGCTGTGGTTTCAGACAGCACAGTGTGGGAAGCAGGAGGTAGGAAAGGCGGGAAGCAGGATCACTACAGGGCTAGGATCAGCACAGTTCATGCCTGATGATGGATTTGTCCTGGAGAAAAGAAGGATCAGGAGGAGCCTTATCCCACTCTACAATTACCGGGAAGGAGGTTGTAGTGAGGGCTCAGGCTCTTCTCCCAGGGAACAAGAGTCAGGACAAGAGGAAATGGCCTCAGGTTGTGCTGGGGGAGGTTTAGATTGAGTATCAGAGAAAATTTCTCATGGGAAGGATTGTCCAGTCCTAGCACAACTGCCCAGGGCAGTGATGGAGTCCCCATCCCTGGAAATGTTCAAAAGACACACGGATGTGGCATCTGAGGACATTGCAAATGGTGACCATGGTGGTGGTGCTGGTTGATGGTTGGGTTTGACAGTCTTCAAGGTCTTTTCCAACCTGAACAAGTCTGTGATTTGATGATTCTGTGATTTCATGTTGCTATGAGTTACAAAGAATAAATAATTCAACATTCCTTGTAGAAAGTCTGGGTTTTGTTCTAGGCAGTGATTTTTTTCTCTCAGATAAGTAGAAGTGCTGTCTCTTGGAATTTACCCATGGACATTTCAATCCATGGTCTTACCTGCATACGCCAGGAGAGCCGACACAATCAGCAGCAGCACTCCCAGAGCCGTGCTGGGGATCAGCGGCGCGGCGCGGCCGGAGCTGTACAAATGCACAGCCAGCAGGAGAGATCCTGTGGGATAGAGGGGGAAGCACACAGAGCTTGTAAACCTGGCCCAAAAACCATGAGAGAATAGGGTGGACATAGCAGGGAATAGAAGGAAAATAACAGTGCAAGATCTGCAAATAGGAAAGCCTAAGGAGCTGGGGGAGTGTGACTCGGTTTGTGCCCAAGGTCTCACTTCTCTCTGGGTGCCTGGTTTGAAAAAGATTGGAATTAGTCATTTGAGGTTGCCCAGCAAGGTTGTGGATGCCCCATCCCATCAAGGTCAGGTTAGATATTGGGATTTGGAGCAGCTGGGTCAAGGGGAAGTTGTCCCTGCCCATGGCAGGGGATGGAGCTGGATCATCTTTAAGGTCCCTTCCAACCCAAACCGTCCTGGGAATGTATGAAAGAGTCTGAAAGTGCTCCCATGTTGCCAGATAAAGGTAAAAATCCACAATTCCAGTTATACAAAAGGCAGACAGACACACACACCCTGCAGCTGATCCCTCCAGACTTGTACTGATGGAAAAGCAGCTGAAACAGTTTGGGAAGATGGAACACAAAGGAGGAACAAGTGAAAAGGGAGTGAACACAGAAAACAGAGAAGGGCTGGAAAAGGAAAGGGGAGGAAATTGCATCCAAACCAAGATGATTTACTATAGTGACTATGAAAAAGTTTGGATTTGCTTCCCACCCAACGTGGAACGAGTACAAAACTTCAGGCCAGCCCTTGGAAGCCAACACAAATATTTTGTTGGCCGCCAAAGCAGGCGCAGGGATCTCTGGATAGAAAAACTCACCCCAGGCAGAGAAGCCTGTGGATAAACAGCCTCTTTAGCCCCCTCGGAAAAGGAGGGCGTCCCGGAAAGCTCGTCCCAAGCCCGTGCCCCGTGCCAGGATGCCAGGAGCGGTCCCTACCTGCGGAAATGCCCAGGAGCCCGATGCAGGAATGCAGTGACTCGCCCATCCCTGCGCGCCGCTGCCCCGGCCGAGGGCTGCACTGCTGCCTCTCTTTCCTCCCATCTCTTTATAACCAAACCATCGCCGCTGCCGCCGGTCCTCCCTGCTCTCCACCCCTTTTCCCTACAAACCTCTTCTGTTCCTGCTCCTCTCTGCATGCGGGAGGAAATGCAAATGAAGTTCTGGCTGCAGTAAATTTGGGGCTGTGAGTCAGCGTGGGCTGCTGGTAGCTCCCTCCAGGGGCCTCTTAATTTTACTGTTGATTAACCCTTGTTCAAAAAGACACTTGAAAAATAAGGCTGAGGGTTTATTGCTGTTGCTGCCTTTTTTTTTTTTTTGCTCCTGCCAGTGAGGAAATTACACTGGTTAAAATGAAGGTTTTTGCAAGCATTCACCTTGATGGAGCAAACAAGCCCTCTGCAAGCCCAGTAGCTCCTTGGGGACCACTTGTTTCTCCTCACACTGGCCACGGGCCTGCTGTTTGTCCCTGTCACAGCTCTGAATGCCTGGCACCAGCCCCCTGAGCTGGGCAAACCCAGGGCAGACCCAGTGCCATTCCCTTAAAGGTGACTTCTGTCCATCTGTCACTCCACATCCATCTCCTCCAGCCCAGAGGAGCCTCGCTGGCTTTTCAGGTCAGGAGTGAGTGTCCAACATTGCCAGGATTGTGTCCCCAAGGGGACATGAAGGACCTGTGGGCAGCTTCCTGCTGCTCCCCATAGGGAATGTGTGGTCAGGGCACAAAGGTATTTATGGATGGAGGGGAGGCTGCAGAAAGCACTGGCTTGGGGATCGTCTTGAGTCATGGCTCAGGTGGGAATTGTCAGAGAACTGTTCTGTGAGAGCTGACAGAGCTTGGTTCCTCTGTTGTGTTGTTTGTGGGGATGGAGCAGTGTAGGGACTGTTCCCTTGAGGGACTCAGCTCCAGTTAAAGCAATTCCCACTCTCCTGACAAGGTAAAAGGTGCAGAACAGCATGCAGAGCTTTTCACTGATACTCTTGGGCTGCCCAGGGATGGCTCTGCAGAGCTCCTCCAGCAGCCAGCTCTGATGTTCCCCTCAGCAGATCCTGCTCTGTGATCCCCCATAAATCCTGTTCCACAGCCAGGGCAGCAGGACAGGAAAGCTGCTGGGAATGGGGCTGGGAGCTGCACTGGCTGGAGCTCACTTCAGGCCTGTGGGATCATCCAAGGGGTGTTGGAGCTGTGACAGCATCCAGAACGACCCCAGAGCACCGGGCACTCTGCTCATCAAGACCCTGCTCCTCCTGCCCCTGAGCCAGCCGCAGCACGATGGCAGCTGGATCCAGCTGGATCCCCTTCACTGCTCCCAAACTTTCCTGGTATCTCTAACTGTGCTCACCCTGCAGGAAGAGGGTCCCTTCCCACCCCTCTTCACTTAGAACCTTAATGCAGATTAGAGCCACTTGTCAACACCAATGCCCACAACAAATCTGTACAGCCAAGGCCACCCAGGCTGGAATAACTCAGCTGAGAAATGTCATTTATCATTCAGCTCTTCGTTGCAGAGAGATCTTTAGGGCTGGCATGTGTGTTGTGACAGATGTTTTTCCAAGGGGAGGGATCAAACCTGGCTGGTCCAGTTGCACCAATCACCCCAGTAAGGGGAACCAGCCCAGCCAGTTTACAACAGGCAGGGGTGACTGGTGGGGTTTGCAGCAGGCAAATCCTCAGCCTCTGGCTACTTCATTCCATGGCTAGTGGGACTGCTCCTGAAGCAGCTGCAGGAAGGAGAAATTACCTGTTCAGGTTGCAACATCATTTGGCTGTTTTTCTATGCAAGAGGAAATAATACACCCCTAAACCATAGTTAGGATTCCTTAGATAGCGAAACAAAGAAGCAGAGAAAAGGCTTTGGATGTTTTTTATGCATATCTCAACTTAATTCCTGTTCTGGGCAATAAAAGTAACTGAGAGGCACAGTCTGGGTTGGGTTAGTGGGACTGCAAGGCATCTGCCACACATTTCTCGTTCTTGCTTGTTCAGGTACCAGCTGGGTGCCTGAAATACCTAATTTTGGTAGAAACATGTCATAAATGAAGTCCCAAACAGCAGCAGTGAGCCTCCTCCTCAGGCCTGCCCTGACCAAACACTGCCAAGCCACGAATTCATTACCCACAGGGTGTGCTTCACGTCTCTCCCAAAAATGACAGAGCCCCAAGGAACACGTCTTATAAATAACCCCTGAAAAACACCCTGCAGCCATGTTGTGGGAGGTTTTTGTTCTCTCAGCCTCCACAGAGCACAGTTATTTCACCAGGGCCGGGCTGAAATAGAGAGGTACAGGATCATCTCCACGAGAGCAGAGCTAGGCTGGGAGGAACAAGCTCCAGACACTGAATCTGGCTGCCAGGGCCCCTTCAGAGCTCAGGGCTCCCCCAGTTCCCAGTGCCACTTCCCTGGAATTAAATAAATGGAGAGATGGTGCTGTTGATGAAGAATCCCATTATTCCAGAGATGAAGAAGTGCTTGGACAATGCTCTCAGGCAGAGGGTGGGATTGTTGGGGTGCCTATGCAGGGCCAGGAGTTGGACGTTGTGGGGTCTCTTCCAACTCTATGACTTCATTAACATCTTAACTCAGGGTGCAAAAGCCAGCAAACAACTGCAGCAAAGTGTAAAATATCCACTTTTGAGAGATGAGATCTGAGGGAGGGAACATTCAGGAATCGAAAAGGATATGTTGGTGTTAAAAGTCTAAAGCAGTGCAGGGTTCAAAGAATGGGTCAGAGAGGGCTGAAACCCTGGCTCTGGGCAGGCTCCCTTTGATACCATCTCCTGTGCAAAGGTTTTGGTCCTTCAGTCTGAACTGGAATGGAAAATCAACAGCCGAGGAGGAAAAACACAGCTGCTCTGTTGAGCAGGGCATGTCAGCTGGGGCTGCTCTGCAGACAACGTGCTGGGAGGAAGATCTGTAAGGCAGCAGCCAGTTGAGGAAACAAATAATATTTATAAGCCCTGCCTGCCTGTGGAACTGGAAATAAAACCTCCTTGCCAGTAAGAAACTCAGCCCAACCCTCGCGGCCCCACCTGCTCTGGGGAGGGCTGGCGCTATAAAGAGCTGCGGGCGGCCAGCAGAGCTCACTGACAGCGGCTGCGGCTCTCCGGGGAACCCTCGGCTCCCGGGGGACCATGGCAAAGAGGGTGGCCGTGGTGCTGGCTGGCTGCGGGGTGTTCGATGGCAGCGAGATCCACGAGGCTTCGGCGGTGCTGGTGCATCTCAGCCGGGAGGGGGCTCAGGTAAGAGGCACCCGCAGGGTCCTGCCCGGGCTCCTTTTCCCGGCTCTGGCTCCCTTTGCTCCTCAGCCTCTCCCCTCCTTGTCTCTGGGACAAACTCCCCAAAATCCAAGCAGCGGTGCCTGGAGTCACTGGGAACGGCGTGGAGAACTCCCTGCTCAGCTGTGCTGTAAAAAGGGATTGGAGTGGGGCTCTGCATCCAAACTCTCCAAGAGACTTTGCTGAACGCCTTCGCTTCTGGCTTCACATCTCTTCTCTCTCCTGGTATCTCTGTTTGAAAGACAGTTTGGGCTGTTTGAAGTTCGTTTTTTGTAAATCTTCAAAGAGTAGAAGTGAAAATAGAATCAGAGAATCCCAGAATGGTTTGGATTGGGAAGGACTTCAAAGCTCATCCATTCCCATCCCCTGCCATGGGCAGGGACACCTTCCACTGTCCCAGGGTGCTCCAAAGCCCGTCCAGCCAGACCTGGGACACTTTTGGGGATAAGAGAACAGATAGGGGTTTGTGAGTTAACTTGAGGAGTAAAAATGGTGCAGCTGCTCTAAAAGTTGGGAGAGCTTCTCCGTGAGACTGGGGAAGGAGGGAGAGAAAACCTCTGGAGCATCACCCTCAGCTGTGGCCACCCATGTGTCTGGGTCAGAGCCGTCCCTCTGGGAATGGGAATTGCTCAGTGGAACACAGAGGCACAGGGGTGACCTACCTGTGCCAGCCCCCCCAGTTCCAAACCATTCCAACCCTGCCCTCGCTGTTTGGCTCCAGGATGAGACTTGGCCAGGCGTTTTCTCCACTGTGTGTAATTTTGCCTTTTCCTCTCCTGGAGCTCTGGAGCTGCTGCAGTCCTTCCATCCTGCCACATCCCAACCTAGCAGGTTCGGAGCCCGTCCCTCCCTCAACCCTGGATCGGCAGGGGCCTCTAGTGGAGGAAACTCGGGCGTCATTTCAATCACAGCACAGAATGGAATATTTCAGCTGGAATGGAGCAGAGCTCAGTACGTCCCTCTGCACGGGAAGCTGCCATGAGGTTGCCCCTCAGCTTCTTTTGTCTCCCACCTAGATAATTCCGGAGTCCTCAGCTGTTCCTCACAAGGACATTCCTTGCAGCCCTGTCCTCCTTGGGACACCTTGTTGTTCCTTAAATCCTTCTTAAATTGTGCGGCCCAGAACTGCACAAGGTGTGACAGTCCCAAAATCTGTTCACCACCCCACTCTTAATTTCAGAATATGAGCTTGAAAGTGCTAAAGGAAGGGAAAGCATTTTCCAGAAACAGCTTTCAGAAAACAGTTGGTAGGGAGAGGAAACCCCAAGTCTTGTCCTGGTGGGAGATGGGGTGGGTCAGCAGCTCTCTGGGTGGTCACCCAGCAAGAGAGATTTATTGGGATATGGGTGGACTCTTCAGCCCCCGAGACAAACAGTTCTGGGCACAAACTACTGGAAGTTTCCTTCCTCCCTTCCCTCCTTCCTCCATGCCAGCTCTTTCCCAAGAAAGCCCTGCAGCATTCCCCCTCACTGCCTGTGCCTTTGCCACATTTCTCCATCATTCCTGAAGGATAACAGCCCTTTCCCCTCACTCCAGGCTGAGGTTTATGCTCCCAACATCCCCCAGATGCACGTGGTGGACCACGTGAAGGGGCAGCCAACGCCAGAGCAGCGCAATGTCCTGGTGGAAAGTGCCAGGATAGCCAGAGGCAACATCAAGGACCTGGCTACGCTGGATGTCAAGGGGCTGGACGCCCTCATCATTCCAGGTAGGATTGTGTGGGGTCTGCCTGTCCACAGCTCAGATATTCCATAGGTCTGGAATGATGTGGGAGTTGTGGGATGGAGAGGGACAGGCTGGAGCAGGGCTTGGAAGGAGAGACAATTTTAATTATTTTCTTGATTCTGGACAAATGCTGCCAACCATCCAATGCACCTGAGCATTCCACCACCTGGCAAAAGTCCTGCCCTGGACATAATCTCCAGCCTAAACTGCTTCTCTTTCCTCAGGTGGCTTTGGGGTGGCAAAAAACCTGAGCACTTGGGCCACGCAGGGCAAGAACTGCAGCGTCTCCAAAGAGGTGGAGGATGTCCTGAGGGCATTCCACGCTGCCCACAAACCCATCGGGCTGTGCTGCATCTCCCCAGTGCTGGCAGCCAAAATCTTCCCGGGCTGTGAGGTGACCGTG